CATCTGACTCTTAGTTTCAGCTCAGGTCATGATCTCAGGGTTATGAGATCGAGCCCTGTGTTGGGCTCCACACTCAGTGGGGAGTCTGCTTGAGAGAGGTGACAGAATGCCTTTTCTCCTTCAAATGTCTTTACTTGAAATCACAGCTACCATTTCTGTCTCCATCAAAACCCTTCTCTGAGGTTAGACTCCGCTCCCTTTTTTTAAACTGCAAACTGGATGTCAGTGTTCAGACCTTCTACAGACATCTCCGGCTCACCCCAAATGAGATTCATCCTCTCTTCCTCCAAAGCAGCCCCTCCTCAGAGTTCTCAATTTCCACAAATGGTACAAAGCCTAGAGCTGGGCACTGTGCTGGGACTGGAGGCAGTCTCTGAGTGGGACCGGGAGCCAAGAAGTTGCCAAGTCCTGGCAATGAAAATTCCCAAACTTCTACATCTTTGTCTTTCCTGCAGCCCCCCTGCCTCTGCTGTGGTCCAGGGTCCTGCTGCCTTTTACTAGGACGACTCTGGGTTCTGACTTGATCTCCCCATCTCTACTCTGCTTCCCTCCCTCCTTTTCCCCCTTCTCTTCCTCTCTCTTTCCTTCCCTCCCATTTTCCTTTTATTCACTCGAGGCAAAAAGCCTTCATTATAAATTAAAAGTAAGTTAAAAAGAACAAAGAGATAAAGACTCCAATCCATAGTGAGGATACAATTTCATTCATTCATTCATTCATTCAGCCAACATTTACTGAGTGACATATGTGCTATGAAGAGGGATTCAGGAAATGAAATAAATTAGATTTCCTAATGTCCAGCCCTACCAAGGAGCTATCTATCAGTGGCTCCCCCCACTCACAGAATTGTGCACAGTACTCAAATCTCTCTATGCCAGAACACAGAGCCACGCTCACAGCACTGGTTCTTACTCTCCTCTAGACACATCCAACATTCCAGTCAAACTGAACAGCCTGCTCCTCCCCTTGTAAGTCCTCTGAACTATTGCTCATGCTGTTTCCTCTGCCTGGAAATATTTTTCGCCTTGCATCTCTACCCACCTAAAACCCAACCTTCAGGGCCCATCTCAAATATTTTCTCCTCCAGAAAGCCTTCAAGGACTGCCCCAACTGGATGTGTCCTCTGTAGGAGCTCAGCAGCAGGGCTCCAGAGTAGAAAACACATGAGCTTTGGAGTCAGACCTGGGTTTTGATCCCTGATCTGCCCGATGCCAAGCAGGTGACTTTGAGCAAGTTACACAGTTACTCTGAGCCTCACTTTTCCCATCTGCAAAATGAGGATGATATCTATCTCACAGGGTTGCTGTGAGGAGGAGAAGATTGAGGCAAAGCCACTATCTGAAATTATCTTCTCATTTCTTTGCTTATTGGCAATACACCAGCTAGACTGTAAGCTCCATGACAGCAAGGATCTGGACATTTTTTTATATTTTTATCCCGGTATCTAAAACTGGCAGATAGCAAACACACACGTATATATGGAATGAATATATCTCAGCTCTGATGCTTATCAGATATGTGTCCTTGAGCAAGGCACTTTACTTCACTGGGTCTCATTTTCCTGAACTGTAAAATGGGAATAAACAATCCTACGTGAAGTGTTGTCCTTAAGATTAAAAGGAATAAAGTTTGTCAAAGTGTCTGGTACAGAGTTCTTTGCAAAGGCAAAAAGGCAGCCGTCTCTTCCCAGTCACAGATATTCAAGACATAGTGTGAATCAGATGAGGCCCTTACCTCCCGTCTACATATTCCCCAATGTATTGGCTCCCTGTGTACTCCATGGCGTCAGCCTCTAGCTTCCAGCCTTTGCGATCCTGGAGTCTCAGTGCGTCGCGTCTCACTAGGACAACCAAGATGGGCGGGGCCGACGCGAAGCCCCGCCCCCAGCGCCTGCGGACCTTCCAGGCACTGCGCACGCTCTGTGGCTCGCCGTTGGGCAGAGCAGTGCGCCTGCGTGGCCCGCTGCGCAGGCGCAGGCGGGAGGTGGCCCTTGGCGGTGGAAAGGGGAATTCAAGGAGACGGGGGCGACGCGGTTGCGGGAGCCTCCTCGGGTTTGGGGCTACCGCCATCATGCCGGGGATAGTGGAGCTGCCTACTCTGGAGGATCTGAAAGTGCAGGAGGTGAGGCTCGTTCGGAAGCCAGGCAAGCGGGGCATAGGGCTGCAGCTTTTCGGGCCTGGGCGCAGCCTTGCTTCGTCTCACTGGACTGTGGGCCCCGGCTCCCCCCACGCAGTGCCTCCCCCTCCCCCCCCAACACAGACACAGGTCGCTCCCGGACGCCTCCTCCTCACCTCCGGGAATCGCCTCACCTCCACCCCATCATGCAGTGGCTCTGTAGCATTCTCCTCTCCTCCCCACTCTGACCCCCAGCGATTTGCTTGTCATTTACGTGAATAATAGTGGTACTTTTATTAAGCACCAGCCAGGGCCACTTTTTACTTTAATGTCCCTTAATACTCAACCTTCCCCGCGAAGTGAATATACAGCCCCGGGTTTTTACAGTCGAGCGAGAAAGACAGTCGCTTCCAGGTGGCCTCATCGGTGTATGGTGTTGGAGTGGAGCTAGGAAGGGGAAGCAAAAGGAGACGATACTGGAGAGTGGAGTTGCTAACAGCCCTGGGAGGGTGTTTGGTAATAGGACATTCATTTATTCAGGAGATATCATTGAATAATTGCCATATACACAGACACCGGAGAATAAGAGAGATGGTCCCTGCCCTCAGAGAGCTTATAATCTAATGGGGAGACAGACATAACGAGGCAGTTACAATATGGTGAAGTTTGTGCTATGAAGTGAGGACGAGATGGTAGATAGAAATTATAGCAAATATGACCAAGCCTTGGCTAGATGTCAGGCAGGATGCTGATTAATTGCTTCACATCCATTAATTCATCAAATCCTGCCAGCAGCACCATGAAGTAGGATATTACTGGTCTCTTCATGTGAAAGGTGAGAAAACAGGCCTGGGGCGTAGAAGTCATTTGCCCAAGGTCATATAGCTAGTAAGTGGTGGAGCTGGACTGTGAATCCAGGTCTGAGTTTAAAACCCATGCTTTTAAACTCTTGTATTGTGGGCAAAAGCTGAAAAGAGTGAGAAGGCTTAGCAGAATGTTTTGTGTCTGGGAGACAAGTAGTTGCCAAGTAAGTGCTGTTTGATGTGACTCTAGGGTTGGTGGGAAGCTCAGCTGTTGCTGGGCCTGGAGAGAGGGGTACCTGGGACTGGTAGGACTGGGAAGCAACTTCTACAAGGCCAGACTTATTTTATAAGTGAGGTGATGGGGAGAGGTGGAAGGTTTTAAGGCACAAGAGTGTCATGGCAGGACTGGGTAGTAGTAAGACTAGGCTACGTAAAAGGAGAGGGAGGGCAACACCAAAAGTTATGTGCCAGAAGTTATATCCCAGAAGTTAGGAAGTTAAGTTACTTTCATGACTTCACTTACTCTTAGATGCCTGTGAGAATGGCAACTATTATTTTCCTCAGATGAAGAACTTTTTGCTATGTTCAGGGACTTTATAGTAAGTGACATTTATTAAGTGGGGGCCTCCAATATTCAGTCTTTGGTTTCTTGTCCCACAGTGAACCTGGGTTAGCCTGAGAGTGCTGTTTTTTTCATGGGAACTTTAATTTGGTTCAGCAAACATCCGAGGTTCAACTTCCTGCAAGTATTCTATATCTGGAATAAATTTGCCTTTAGCGTTCATACAGTTGAATTGAAATACAGATAATTACATAAATAACTACAAGACAAAGTATGTTTAAATGCTATGGAAGAGGGGCAGACATGGTTTAAGAGAAGAGAGCAGGATTTGAAGTTGGATCTAAATTCCAGGCCTAACTGCACAGTTACCTTGATTAGTCACTTGTAGCATTTGCAGACATAGTTATTTTATTTGTAAGATGAAGTGATTCCAGCTGTATAATTCTCTGAGGCTATAAAGGGAACAGAGAAAGCACTTCTCGGGCATAATGTGAGACTTGGCTAAATGGCATTTGAAGAATAGCATTTATAGGCCAAGACGGAGTAATGGGCTTCTAAGCGAGGGTTAGATCTGAGCGAAGGTAAGGAGATGGGAAAATGCAGGGGTCCACAGATGGGTTCTGGGGACAGTGAGTTCAGTGTTCTGAGACAGCAGCAAGTCCCTTTTTGGAAATGCCTTGGGTGAGAAGGCTGGATCCCAGAGGGCTTTGAATACCCCGTAAAAAGTTTAGGCTTTATTCTGCTGTTAAGCCTGAATCCTTCCAGGGCTTTGCTGCTAATTTGTTTAAATGGAGTACAATAAGAATTGCCTTTTAGGAAGATCACTCTGGCAGCTCTGTGAAGAATGGATTGAAGGGAGGAAAAGAAAAGCAGGGGCTGTTGAAATAATGAGGAGGATATTAATGACCCCAACATAATTGGTAACTGTGCTCACAGAGCGAAAGAACAGATTTATCTGGAAGTCAGACTTAGCAGTGACTTAGGTATCAGAAGCAGGGAGGGTTGAAGAGTCTGTCAGATTTGTAACCTGACAGTGGGGCTGGGGAAGCCAGAGGGAGCAGATTTGAGAGACAAATTAAACACGTTTTGGACCTTGTTGACTTTGGAGTTACAACACATAAGCAGTCAAAAGCTTAGGCTGGAAACTCCGTGTACACATTGACAATTTTGAGTAGAAATAATAGTTAATATTTATGTGCTAGTCACTGTTCTTAATATTTTTATATGTGTTAACTCATTTAAATTCTCAGTAGTCTTATCAAATAAGTACGATTATCCCCCGTTTTCCATAAATTAAATAAAATGGAAGGCACAGCATAAATTAAAGACTGTAGAAAGAGGTGCAGACATGGTTTAAGGAAGAGAGCAGGACTGGAGTATTGGTTGTAGACTGTAAGACTTTCTGCCTCCCTTTTCACACCTGCAGATTGTATAGACCGGCTGTGCGGGGAGGCTGTCATGAGGGTAAATGAGGAAGATGCTGGAACTTTGTGTTCTTTGAGACAAAGGGAAGTGAATGAATTTGAGAGGATATTCACAGTAAGCAGCTGTGAAAGGATGTTGTTTCTGTTGGAACTCATCAGTCTTCGTGAAGAAGCAGGTGAGGGGAGACGGTGACATCCAAATTCCTTTGCCACCTCAGTGAAGGTGATGTAACGCAAAAAGGCCTGATTGAAGGTCACAGTCTGTGAATTCCAATTCTACAGTTGCCACTGACCTGCTGTGTCATCTTGAGCACGTCTCTTTCCCCAGGAAAGAGATTCGGTGAGTGGCTATTGTCTTTTATTTTCCTGTGACAGAGCATATTTTATATACTCAACAACATGGGTGTGCCTAGATTTTTGATAAGACCTCTACATTGGTAGGAAAGTCAGGCAAGGAATGTCAACTTTTTTGGACACGATAGCTGTGAAGGCATTTGAGTAATTAAATCAGCCATTTAAAGGCCTTTAAGGCATTTGTCAAGGAAGTAAATATAGCTAACTTAGTTTTTTAAGTATATTAAGCTTTAAAAAGTTTGAATCTTGATTTTTTTTTTTTTTTAAAGAGGGAGCACGAGTGCATGTGTGCAGGGGGGAGGGGCAGAAGGAGAGGGAGAGAGAATGCCAAGCAGGCTCCACGTCCAGTGCAGAGCCTGACACAGGGCTCGATCCCACAGCCCTGAGGTATGACCTGAGCCAAACTCAAGAGTCAGATGCCTAACCGACTGAGCCACCCAGACGCCCTGAGTCTTGATTTTTATTCTCTCAGCTCTTTACAGGTAGCAAGAGTATACCCCTCAATTAACCTAAATAAACTCTTACTATAAAGAATTTTAAACAAATTTATTAGACTTGTCATGGCAGATTTCACTTGTATCATAAGTTTGTCTTTGCTTTGATAATTATACCAGTTGTAATGTTAGTAGACATCATCCTAACTTTATTCTCCTCTTCCTGTAGTGTGTAGATGAATTACTGTCTTCATCTTTCCTTGCCATTTATTTTATTAATAATTTAACCTAAGCTATGTGAAATTCATAAAAAATAAAATTAGAGGGGCACCTGGGTGTCACATTCGGTTAAGCATCTGACTCTTAGTTTCAGCTCAGGTCATGATCTCAGGGTTATGAGATCGAGCCCTGTGTTGGGCTCCACACTCAGTGGGGAGTCTGCTTGAGACTCTGTCTGCCCCTCCCCTCCATGCACACTCTCTCTCTAAACAAATCTTTAAAACATAAAATTATAAAATTTTTAGCATTATAAAAATAATTACAACATTATTCTTACATAAGAATCCTTAATAAAATATTTATGAATCAAATCCAGTAATATTTTAAAGCATAATACACTGTGGCAGACTAGATTTTATTCTATCTATAATGGGAGAGTTTTGGAAAATCTGTTAGTGCTCTAAACTTATAGATTAACGAAAAAGAAACCCGAAATTTCAGTCTTTCCAAAAAGAACAGTAAAGGAAAGCCAATTCAGATTAGAAGGAAACTTCCTTACTGAGGAATATCCTAAGAACTATATCCCAGGGCGCCTGGGTGGCTCAGTTGGTTAAGTGACTGACTGCCTTCGGCTCAGGTCATGATCCTGGAGTCCTGGGATCGAGTCCCGCATCGGGCTCCCTGCTCGGCAGGGAGTCTGCTCTTCCCTCTGACCTTATCCCCTCTCATGTGCTCTCTCTCTCTCAATCTCTCTCTCAAATAAATAAATAAAATCTTTAAAAAAAAAAAGAACTCTATCCCAGATAACATCAGCAAACGTTGTACCAAACTGTGCTTTAAAGTCTAGAAAAAGGCAAGGATGCCTACTGCCATTGCTGTTCATCTGCATTATCCTAGAGTTTAGTCAAAGCAGTA